TCCCTGGCACTTTCTGTTCAACCACGAAAGGCATGTGCATGTACAGTGTAAATTGGCAATGCCCAGCATGACACTGTCACAGAGATGAGACTTGACTAGCAACGTTCTTGGTGCCATCCAAATTGGAAGAAAGTTCACTGTCTATAACACCCTCAATCCATAGTTGATTGCTTGGAAGATGAGAACTTTCAAGATATTGCATTATTCTCTTGAAGAAGCTTTTAAATTGTTCTTACATTTTCTCCCAGCAAAGTTAACAAGCACACGCTTTCTTATTTTCAGATGGCACACCTTCATTTAACTCGGCACCCAGTCGTATTCTGCTTATCTCGCGTCTCTTCTGGTCCAATTCGTCGCGCAAAACCCGCGCAACGTCATCAAACATTTCCTCCACCCCCGCCCCTGTTTTGGCTGATACTTGGTAAACCCCGCCAACGACCTCGTCCCCGCACTGCGCTTTGAAAATCTCGATATCGTCCTCAGTCACAAGAGAGTGCGGGTCGTGATCTCGCGAGATCTCGTCCACTTTGGTCCCACAGATGAAGAGTTTGGAGACGCTGCAGTACATGGCCACCTCCAGCATGGACTGTGACAGACAGTTAAAGGACTCTGGGTCCGTCAGACTGAAGCACAGGATAACCCCGTCTGCTTGCCGGTAGTACCCTCCCGTGAGGGAAGCCCGCTCCATGCCTCCTGTGTCCCACATTGTTACCTGAAAGATAGCGGTGATGTTTTTCAAGCTATGTCCCCAATATTATCTCTACATGCACGTATACCAAGTAATGAGATAAATCCTATCGCATACGGAGTACATCTATTATCCATCTTGAAAATAGATTTCAATAAATGAAAACTGAACTTCTCATGCATACCAAGGAATGAGATGAATCCTGTCATATAGGCCTACGGTTAAATCCTACTGTATAATATACACCCCTGCCAATTATCATCTATCTTTAAAATAGATAAAGCAATCAGCAAGGGACTTTTATTAACTTCCTTCAAACTTTTTATATATCCATGAACAGTTTAACCATTAAGCTAATAAGGCACAGACCCGTAGCCGGGGGGGGGGGGGGGGGTTTCGAAAAA